CTGGCAGATACATTGTGAAAATCAATTCAGAACATTTAGAACCCGTAACTGGAAAAATCCCAGATCAACCAGACATGCTCAATTCATGCAATAAAGTGGAAAAACAACCCCAAAGCCTGGAACTGTTCTTTTTCACATTGCAGTCAGAAAAAGTAGTCTAAACTGCCAATTTGTTTCCAACAATCTAACTTTCCAAGGCTCGATATTTTAACAACAAATGACTAAGCATTATAAGGTTTTTGTTTAAAAAGTGTTTTCACTTTAATGGGTTTAGTTAATAACATCATGAATGGTACAAAACTGTCCTTTTTTCACATTTCCATACATTGTATTATGGACCACCTGAAAATCTGGACTAAGAATGCATAAAGTGTCTCTTAATTAGCCCTAGCTTCATTTTTTTGCCATATGTAGAGCAGATATGCAGGAAAACATGCATTTATTATCAATGACATGTCAATATTAGCTTAAACAATAAAATATGGCAGGATGTGCATTGTATAATGCACAGGTAATGTAACAGGGTAAAAGAGAGACCAAATGTCAAGTGCTTGGCAACAAAATAAGAAATGGTTGATGACACACTGACATTTTGTGACCATAGTTATTAGCTCTTCTGTTTTAAAATTGTTTTAAATAGTAGTAAATATTTAAATAATATTTAAAATATATTTCCTATGGAAATCATTTACTTGGAAGACAGCCTGTGAGATCTGACTTTTTAAAAAGTAGTATTTCATTCTGACAATATATGAATACAATACATGCCACAGAACTTCAGAGATCCTAAAGCCCTTAGCTGTTTTCAGAAACAAATGCCTCAATCCAATTTTGCCTCTGATTTTTTTTTTTTTTTTTTACTAGCAAAACTTTGGAAGTAGCATCTCAAAGAAAACCTGCCCTTAAGAGAGAAATACTGCGTTCGAATAAAAACCAAACCCAGTGCAGAATGGGAGGCCACACTAAAAGAAAGAAAGAAAGTGGAATTAAAAACCCAATAACGGATTATGCAATTGCTTTCATTCCTGTTTTGCTAATTCATAGTCTAAGGAGGGCTTTGTTCCTTCCTAGTGCATCTTCTCTTGCAGTCACATGAGTGCTCCATTTCCACTGTCAGAGGTTAAGGGATGAAGACCTCACTGTTACCTCAAGGGAAAAAGAACTGAAGTGTGGGTGCAGAATCAATCACCTAAAATGCAACAAAACAGAGCAAAGTATTTGTGCAAAAAAGTAATTTGTACATTGAACTTTTTTCCTAAGTTTGCTTCAGTATAAAAAA